GGCAAGGGCTGCGCCTTCGGGCCTTTCCGTATCCTAACGGCACGAGCGGCTCCCGGCGGGTAAGAGCCCGCGCGGCCGGGCAGCCGCAGAGCGACGGTGCTGAGGAAACCCGCTGCTCGGTTCCTCAGGTGTGACGGGCGCGGCCTTCCCCTCCGGGCCGGCGGAAAAGGGTGAAATACGGATAACGCGGGCCCGGGGAATGCGTGAGCCAAGCCTGCCAGGAACTGCTGGTACTACAATGGAGTGTAAAACCTGGGGGAAAACCTAGGATTAGCGGGGTTAAAGACCGCCTACTGAAAGCACTTGTCTCAGATGAAGCTATTCGCTTCCCTACGCCACGCAGAGGGTTCCTTCGCACCAGCGGTGCCTTACCACAGGCTCATTACAAAGTTATTGAATCAAACCCGGTGTAGACTTTGAGTTAACTAAGTATAGGCTGGAGTGGAGAAAAAAAATAACAAACAGCTTCTAATAAGTTTAGTAATGCTGTCAAAAAATCATGCTTATAGAAAATATATACAAAAATATATAATCACTTTATATTCTTACTAATCATTCTCCATGAATAACAACACACTAGCAGTGCAGTTGTGGTGATTTACACAGACTGCAGTTCACAACACTGTACCTCCACTGTCACTTTGTATGCTAAGTAGGTAACCACGTGAAAAAGAGATTATTCAGATATAATTAAAGACATTCTTAAAATTCTAGTTATTTATTTCAATGTACTTTTAAGATTAAGTCCACTCTCAAACACAACTCACTACATTATTTTGTATTATTGGTATATTAGAAACTGTTGAAAAAAAGCCCTACTAATGGCACATGGAGAGAGTTGCCTATTAATGAGATGAATAACAAAGTTAAAAACTTTTATTTGAGAAAACATAATACAGATATTATTGTGAAAATAAGATTTTGTAAGCAATTATTTTGCATAGACTAAAACACCATATGTTTTATGTGTATGGAAAATAAGAATAAAAAGGTATATTTCAAACTTCTTTACATCTGGTTAAAAGATAAGACTACTGAATATTTACAGATTAGGACAGTCAAAACTATTACATTGCCATGACTGTAAGCGCAGAAGCAAAAGGGTGCAGATTAGTTGTATCCTAATCAGTACACTATGGCACTGTCCATAAAGGGTATTTTTGTAAGCTCCACATGTCCAGTTTAATGTTGTCCTGCAGATGTTCAGCATGGAACCAGATGAAATTCCCCAGCTGAGTTTTAACCCTCCCCCTTGAAGCCCAGAACCCACAAGACACTTACACAAGCATATATCTGACTGAGAGCCTCAAGAACAACTCAGGAAATGGTGCACCTTTGCTTTGGCCACAGCTACCGTGGTTGGGCTGAGAGTTTCTGCACTAGCAGGCTGCTGGAACTTTAGTGTCTCTATTTACAAATGTTTGGGAGGACAGTTTGTTCATTTGTGGGTTTTGTTTTTTTTTTTCCTCCAGAAGTGGATGGATTTTTATTTTTTAAAAATCTAGCTTGTATGAAACCATAAAAATAAACTGTTCTATTTCTGACTTCCATGTTATTTCATGGCTGGTGAAAGTAAGGCTTTTGAGAAGTAGCAGCAGCTTCACAGATTTCAGATCTACTCAGTTTTCCCATAAGATCAGACAGCAGTAATAACCATAAAGAAACCCAAAAGTATGTATAGTAATATATAATAATGCCAAGAAAATGGTCACATTTGGCTCTGTACAAACATAGTAGGTTCTTAGGAATACTATGCCTTGCATGCATTTATTGCATGATGTCCAACAACACAAGTATCCTTATAATTGTAAAGAAAAGGTAATTTGAAATTCAGTCATTGCGAAAGCCTTGTTTGCCTGACATGTTAGCTCGTTCTGCCTGGCAGCACAGCTTTGTGTAAAGAAAAGGTAACATTTGAGGACTACTAGCATGGTACTGTCTACTAGTTTCTAGATTATGATTACTTCTGTGTCATGAAACGGTCTGTGGAGAGTTCATGCAACACAAGACTAAACAGACTGATTTCAGAGCTGTACAGCAGACCTGATATTAATCTTTGGAAGAGTTTTAAGTAGTAGTATTTTCTATACCTAGATTCCTTACAAAAAGGTTTGAGCTACTGAGCTAAGACACTGCTAACCCATCAGCTTTAAAACATGTAAGAATAGGTTGAAAAATGAAAATCTGACAGAATACTAGAAGTCAATAACGGCTTTCTAGGTGTTAGAGTATTTTTTTAAAACACATCTGAGCCTAAGACAATGCCATAATTGTATCTGTTGCTCTGCATTACAGTGGTCTTCAAACAAAACCACAATTCCAGTATCACTTTCTCTCAGTTCAAGGTTTGTTTCCCAGCTCTCTCACAAACATACTGTAAAACAGTACTGGACATGGACGGCTGGATGTGCCTCCTGAGGTTCTGCTTCTCGCACCGAGTGAACGTGCAATTCATCTCTCTACGATCCAGTGTGGCCTCATAACTAGAGAGCCATTCCTCTTAGTCAGTGGCGGAGAGGCATGCATTGCATTATTTGACATATAGACTGCCTCCCTTGAGGCATGCAGCCAGCTTCGCTTCCTTTTTAGATTTCCTACAAATGCTCTAAGATAAAAAAACTCCATTCCTAGGAAGTTTTCCCTGGTTGAGTCTCTGGAAGCCACTGTTATCCTGACCAGCTGGTCCAACACCGTGTTCTTCTTGCAGCTGGATAACTCTTTGAGGTTGATAGGCTTTGACCGTGAATAAAGAATCCGAAATTCCAGGTCAAAGTGTGCAACCACAGGGCCTGACAGAATCAAAATGTTACTGCTGTTCAGCTTCCCATCCATCCACGTAAAACTAGAAAAGGAAGAAGGAGAAAACTCTGAGTTAATCAAAAATAAATAGTAAACAAAGTATTAAACTGAAAATTCTCTTTCATCACATTTTGTTAAATTGTTCTTACAATGCAAATTATGAGCAGCATGCTCTTTTTAGGACAAACATTACACAAAAACCCTGATAAGGAAAGCAGTTTTGCAAAATGGCTATTTTTCCTTTCCATGTAAAGAAACCGTGTTAAGCAACAGAAAGAAATTGGCACTTGCCTGTAGGAGCCTGTTGTCACTCTAATGCCATCAATTAACATGAACTTTTCACGGACTTTTCCAACAATTTTGGCACCAGACCTCGTGTAGTATGTTTTCCCAGTGATATTTCGAATTCTCATCAGCTGTTAAAGATATGGCAAGTGTCACGTGGATTTCAAAGTTAAATGCTTGCATGTAAAGGAGTAATGCACAAGAATAAGGATCCCTGATGAACTAGCAAAGGTTGCTGCACAGTGCCACAAGATCCAGCCTCTAGGAACCAAATGATAATTTTGTCTTGTTTTAGTAGGCAAAGAGGTGGCATTAAGGGGCAAACCCATACATTGATTGTGCAGAATGCGACTGTAAAAACTCCTGTTGCCTAACCTTGGAGGGACTCAAACTCCACAGACTCCTGACAACCTGCTTCTCCACCAGCCTTCAAAGTCTCAGCAAGCCTGAGCAACTCCAGTCATGCTTTAGCAACTGGACATTCCTCCTGCCTTTCCTTGAATAGTCAATATTTGTGGTCAGAAAGCACCTGTAACATCCACCTGTAAAGATTTTGATTTTTCTATTAATTGCCTTCTTATGTAAGAATGGTTAAATCTTCCAAGAAAGAGCTAGAGCTACATAAACCCCATTTAGTGGCAGCAGGCATAATAATTTCCTCTTTTGATAGCTCAAAGATTACAGTCATAAGAGGATCAACTCTCTATCCCTATAAATACAACAAGGCTCACCTTTTCCTGTTCGAGGTCAACTCCCAGATCCTTGCACATTTTTAGAAAGTGGGAAAATGAAGACTGATCTAGAAGGATATATGCTTTAACTTGCCGCTGGCTACAAGCTTCCAAAAGGTCTTTGAAGATATCAGTATCTGTGAAGGAATCCATAACCAGGGCAATCATCTGCAACAAGTTTCAGAAGAGATCATTAGGCTGTTTCCAACAGCATCCCAAGGGAGATGGCACATGAGGAATTTGACTTTAAAATTAAATATTCTGACCCCTCCCTCTTTTTTTTTTTCGTAGTGGTAATGGAACATGGTACAATCTTCTGTGATATGGTATATTCTTCTGTTGATCACAGCACTGCTGAAACATTTAACAGACATATAAGAAAGAGAAGAGAAAGGAAAAATAACTAATTGGAATAAAGTTCTGTGAAGAGAATGGTATTTTGGTAAAGGTGATTACTGAGTATGGCACACTGTAGAGGAGACACAATATACATCGCCCATTCATTATGATCACTTACTCGTGTCCCTGTATAGTTAAATATAAAAAAAATATGTATTGAATTTATGGACAGAAATTGTTGTTAAAGATTATTTGCCCCAATTTGTTGTCACTTGCTGATTTATAACAGATAACATCATTTAAGATTTTTATTACTGCATCGTAGAATTTCATTTTTTACTATAATGTCAGCAGCAAGCATTGAAGTTTCTTTTGCCAGGATCTGTATCTTTTTTGGTTCAATAGGTATGAACAACCCAGCCTGAAAGACTGTTGTAGAAAGACACCTTTTCTCTATTTAGAAATCAGAGTTCATCACTAGTTAGAAGCATCGATAGCCCCTGCATCTGTTCAGTACCATGTTGCTCATGGTTTTTTAATTAAGGTTGTACAAAGGTCTTCCCTTTTTTACCACATAATTTCACTTTCAAGAAGAAATTACAGAAATCTGAGCATTTTCTCCTTTTCTCCACCTGTAGAGCAGTGCCAAGGCAGCAGGAGACTCAACACCTCTCCAAAAACCGAAGCGAGCTGATAGAAAAAGTATTTTGCATCAGAAAAGAAAGACATTGCTGTCAGCCTCTGCAGCTACATCAGTAACTTTTGGTGTAATAGGAGCAAGGAGTTGATGGTGGAGGTGTTTGGTGGGGCAGAGAATATCTCAGAAGAACCAGAACGGTGGTAAAATAAACGTATCGCTTCAGGTTTCCTCCTCGCCCTGAGATATGGCAAAAACAGGGGTCTAGTTCTGTGTTAAACAAACTTGGTGTCCGATTCCTAGGCAAGAGGGTTTTTTTGTGAGGACAGATGTGTTTTCCTCAAAAGCATTGCCTGACAAAAAAGGTGAGCTTATTTCCAGAGTCCTTCGAACTTCTCAAATATGAAAAGAAACAGTGTCTGACTGCTCTTGGTATCTCACCTGCCCACTTAAAATTTGTATCTTAAAGATACAAATGAAAAACATGAAGTTTGTCTTCAAGTTATTCAGATTCTCACGCGATTTCATGCTAAGATCTGGGTACTCGCCCAAGCTCCCCAGGGAGCCAGCTCCTGCCCTCGCAGGTCTGT